ATCCTGGGAGGTGTGAGTGGCAGTAAGATGTAAAGAACACTGTGAACTACTTTTGCTAGAGCCTGACTCCTTAGTGTAAACAAACTAGAATGCAGGGGGAAGGGAGGGTAAGATGTGTTCGGGAGGGTGGGTTGGTACTACTTGGAGGCAAGAGTTGCAGGTGTCAGGGTGTGTTTTATCTAAACTTGATGCCCCCAAGGCCATAGATTTGCCACTGCCAGCAGTTGTACCCCATAGGACTTGGCTTAAGCCAGGCAGATAAGTGAGGGCACAGGTGCAGGGGCAGCTGCCAACCTTGGCCTGAAAGCATTTCCTTGCTCTGGGCTAAGAATTTTCTCAGTGCATTGAGCCTCCTTCTAACCTTCTCAGGAAGTAGTTGATTCACATTCCCTAAGTGCTGTGCTCATCCTTGGATACCTGGGACCTGACACAGACCAGGCACTTGATAGAACCTGGTTGAATGAATGGATGACTTATCTCCAACAGTTTTGATGTTAGGCAATCTTGTGTCTGAATAGCAATCAACCAGCAAGAAATTCCTAACTCTACAAATTACCCATTGCTGAATATAAATTACTGTAAAACTTAGCCACTTGAAATAGTAACAGATATTTATAATCTCTTATGCTTTCTGTAGGTCAGGAACTCAGCAGCAATTTTGCTGGGTGATTCTGGGTTGAGTCCTCCTGTGAGGTTGCAGTCAAGCATTGGCTGGTGCTGAAGTCCCTGAACGCTTAACTAGCTCTAAAGGATCCACTTCTAAGATGGCTCATTCACATGATTGGCAAGTTGGTGATGGCCATTGACAGGAGACTTCAGTGCCTTGTTTGTAGACTCTGCTATAGGACTCCTAGAGTGGCAGCTAGCTTCTCCTAAGTAAGTGATCCAATAAAGACCATGGTGGGATTCATACTCTATCATTCCCACATACCCTATTAATGACACAGGTCACTCTTATTCAGTGTGGGAGAGGACTACACAATGGCATGAATACCAGGAGGAAAGAATCATCAGGGGCCATTTTGGAAGCTGGCTACCACACGGCCACAGCAGTTGTTGAATGCCCATTGTGTTAAGGTATTGTGCTAAATACTGAAGATTCCAAAATTAATACACACCATCCCTGCCCTACGGGAACTCAGAGACCAGTAGAAGAGGTAAAGATATTGTGGGGTGGGAGCCCAGGGAAGGGACACCTTGGCCCAATCTGGGTTGCTTACCAATAGCCTCCTAAGTCTCTGACCCATTCAAATAACATTGTTTAGAAAGTTTTTCATACTTTATCCACTTACTCACGCTCTCCAGGGATATATGCCTGACACATGGAGAGTTCTTTAAAAATCCTGGGATTTATTATTAACCTTTCTCCAGACCTATTTCAGCCTACCCTATTGGACTCACTTCCTCAGTTTGCTGATCTGACTCCATCCAGCTGCTTTACTGTCTGTGGTAGTTAAGGCTGTGTGTCAACTCGGCTGGGCTGTGACCTTGAGTAGCTTAGCAGCTGGATGTAGTTATTCCCCATAATGAGATTGTAATCACCTCCATGGTAGAATCTGCTGTGAGCAGCTAAATATCTGCCTTTGGGGTATGCCCTGCTTCCAGAATATAAAAAGAAGCTTTGAGAAAAGTCTCTAGCTCTTTAGCACATCTGGATCCTGCATTTGGCTGAGTCTTCACCTCTGTGTTGCCTGCTGATCTTGGGATTGCTCCTGGACCTGGACCAGTGGTCTGCCATGTTGCTTATCCATTTTGGGATTGTGCCATTTGACCTCTGACCTTCAGTTTGTTAGCCTCAGCAGCCAGCAGTAGCCTGAGTTAGGAGACATCTCCAGCTCCAGTGAGACTGCAACAAGTTAAAAAGCCCAAGGTTGAGGGGCCTTCACCCAGCCCATAGAGGCACCACCACTCTACTTTTGGACTTCTAGCCTCCTAAACTGTAAGAGAATAAATTCCTGTTTGTTAAAGCCATCCGCTGGTGGTATTTCTATTATAGCAGCTCTAGAGAAGAGAACTAAGACACTGTCCCCTTTGTACAGACCAAAAACTCAAGATGACAACTCTTAACTACAGAGTCTCTATCAATCAAGCTACTTCCCAAGCAATTGGCATCTTTTAGATTAAATGATATTCACTCTGTCTTTCAGTCTTCTTTGATAGATGAAAAGACATTGGCAAACAGAGGGACAGTAACAGCCTAAGATCTTTGTGGAAAATTAGTAGAGTCTTACCAACTACATAAAAATTAATCCTCAAGATCCCCAAAATTTTCTTGTCTAGAAACTAAGGCATGCTTTATTTCTTCAAGAGAGTTTTGTTTTTTCCATTTTAGAGTAACTTGAAAATTGTCCTGGAAATCTTTCTGATCCCCTGGGGGAAAAACACTCAGTTTATCATTCTCCTCCTGCTTCCACCATTGCCTGAGGAATCCAAATAGCCTGACCTGTATGAGCACTGAGTCACACATACCCACAGACATAATGAGAAAAAGAAAATAGCACATCAGTTAGGGGATCCCAGTAACTTGAAGAAGAAAAAATACATTTATACAAATATAAAAGTATTTCTGAACTTTCTATTATTTTCCATTAATAAATAAATGCTTTATACAATATTTTGACATCTTTTACATATTTTCTTGACAATTTTCACTGATATACTTTTTCTGATGAAACTTACAATCAACTTGTTAAATTAAAATACACATGCCTTTTAGGGTGCTAAATTGTAATACATTTAGAAATTAATATGTGAGAATTGACACATTTGTAATATTGAAATTTTACATCTAGGGACATAATTTATTTCTGAATAGTTGCAAGTACAAAGAAGACAAATTTTTTTATAGTATTCTCCAATGATTCACAGGGCCTAGCAGAATGCCTGGGAAATAATAGATGATCTATAAATATTTGCTGATTCTTCGTCTTTATCAGGTTTAGGTAAAATGTAAATGAATTGGGAAGGTTTTCTCATGCTCATGAAATATTTGTTTCTTAATTGTTTGATAGAGTTATCTGGTTCTTGAGGCTTTTAGGGGTAGTATTTTTAATAGCACTGTCACTGTCTTCCATGATTATGTAATTTGGTCTGTTTAAGTTTTCTTTCTCTACTTATGTCAATTTTATTAGTTCATTTTTCTAGAACTTGCTTATTTCATCTAGTCTTGTAGTTTATTTGCATACAATTTTTGTGGTATATTCTTATCATTTGATTCATCTTTGTATTAGTGGTAATCTCTGAAGGGAACACAATGCATTAATTCCACATTCAGGTAGAGAGTTTTCTGATATAAGAGTAGAGGAGACATGAGAACTACCAGGCCAAAAATAGAATTGGTGAATCACTGTGACAGAGAATAGGCTTGCAATTAGACAAAGTTCCATTTGAATATCTCAGTTGTCACTTATTAAAGATGTGACCTTAGCCAGTTATTTAACTTCTCCAAGCTTCAGTTTCCTCATGAGTAAAATTTAAATAATAGCACAATTTCTATAAGGTTGTTGTGAGAATTAAATGTATTAATATATGTGAAATTGTGTACAAATACTTATTGTTGTTCTTCTTGTTGTTAGATGTCATTGAGTCAGTTCCAACTTATAGTGAGCCTACGTACAACAGAACAAAACACTGACCAGTCCTGCACCACTCTTATGTTTTTTGCTATGTTTGAGTTCATTGTTGTAGCCAGTGTCAGTCTACTTACATATCGAAAAAGCAGAATACCAGGTAGCTAATATCATTAAGATGCATAATTAGAGGATTTCTGGATTTACTGAGACAATAGGAACAGTTATTTTTTTAAGTTGTTCTTGGATACTCAGAAGAAGATCTTTTATCATCCAAAGGCTCTTGAAATCATTTTTCAAGATTGAGAAATAGTGTGAAATTTCAATGCAGCAGGAGAAAGGGGTTTCCAATAATCCTGGAAATGAAGACAATGAAACTCACTGTATTAGGATAAAGTAGTTATTCTAATTCATTGCAGTTGCTGTATGTGTAGTTATTTCTCTATTGTTAGTCACTTCTCTAGGTGGAGTTTGAGGAGTGTGCAAAGGCCATAGGAAGGCATTTCTAAAACAATATTGAGGAAGTTAAAGTTTTAGTTAACACAGTCAAGATTAAACTGTGAATAGGTCAGTTATTTCATCTCTGCAAAGATGTGATCCAGATCATGTAGAGAACATGATCAATGAATTTTCAGTCAAGGGTGACTGGCAGAACAAGAGTTACTGATTAAAAACAGAATGAGATGAGTTCAGTTTTAAAGATTGTGAGTAAAAGAAAAATAGTATTATTCTCTGTGTGCACTATTATTTATTTGTTCAAACTGTGTCTTCTAGTTGTAGGTACATTCTGTTTTCAGATACAAGTCTATGAGTAAAAGAAATCACGTCTGCTTAATTCTTTCCATAAAGAGTCAGCACTAAAATAATTCTCTAAACTATAATAATAAGAAATGTAATAATGTGAATGATTTTTGGGGAGAAAAGGGGAGGGGGACCAGTTTTGCTGGTCTGATAGAGCCTGGTGGAACCACTGAGACTATGGCTCCTAGCTGCCCTTCAGGTCTGGAATTAAACCCACACCTGTGGCTTCCAGACAAACAAAAGACAAGCATATGAGTTGAACATTTACCTGAGGTAGATACACTCCTTGGAGAGAACAATCATGGGAGAAAAAAAGGCTGTTTATGCACAAGGAGACAGCTCAGGGGGCAGGAGTGCATGGAGGGATAGACAGAGGAAACAGGTAGCTATCAGGAGGAAGTGGGAGGGGAGCTGTTGCATTGTGGTAAATTGTGGTCAATGTCTTGAGACAAAGTGTATGTGAACTGCTGTATAGAAAGTGAATTTGCTCTGTAAATTTGCACCAAATCACAATATAAATAAATAAATAATGTGAAGGATTGACAAAGTGAGATGATGTTTCATATATTTATTGAGTTGAAATAAATCTCCAGGAAGGCTTTATTCCCTCCCTGGCCACATCCTTTCTGTTTAAGGCCAGTTACAACACTTGCAACTTTCATCAAACACGAGGCTCTCTGGACATCTTTTTGCCACAGTGTTACCATTAGCACACTCAAAAAACCTGGATGGGTCATCGGGGTTGGCGTAGATGCCATCAGCTTTACCTTCACAGAATGTACTGGGAGGTGTGGGCTTGGGAGGCTCTGGAGTGATGCAGCCTAGATGCAAAATGACAGGAACACAATCAGCAACAGTTCACTAAACTCTGAGGAAAGCTCTAAACATAAGAGATTAGAAAAATCCAAATTCGAACCAAGCCAAATTGGAGGTGGTCAGTGTTGTTGTCTTATGCCAGAGAGTCAATTCTAGCTCACAAGTTGTTTGTGGTTCGAGTTCACCCAGAGGCACCACAGAAGAAAAGGCATGGCAATTTGCTTCCATAAAGATTATAACCAAGAAAACACTTGGATTAGGTCTACTCTGTTACACATGGGATCATCATGAAATTTGAGGTGGGAGGACCTTATTCACTAAAGATTAGAATAGAGTTTCAGATTACATAGGATCATTTGTTCAAAGTGAAGAGGATGCTAGCTTCACTTCTTTCACTAGCTAGAATTGAAAATATGTATATATATATAGTCTTCATTTAGTGTATGGAATCCCTGGGCTCAGCTGCTAAACAAAAGGTTAAAGGCTCAAGTCTACCCAGAGGTGCCTCGGAAGAAAGTCCTGGTGATCAATTTTTTAAAAATCAGCCATTGGATGATGAAGCACAGTTCTACTCTGACACACATGCAGTCGGTGTGAGTTGGAATTGACTTGACAAGAACTGGTTTATTTGGTATTTAATTATTTTGCTAAGTTGGACAACAATGGCTGTTTCTTAACAGAGGAATTATTCTCAAGTTCACCAGAGCAAAACAGTAATTTTGTATGTAACATATTGTCAGATGGAAAAGTATGTATTTTCTAGGGTTTTGTTAAATATTTGCACATCTCAAGTTCTCAAATGAGAATATTAGAAGCAATAAATTGTCTTCATGTTCAAGATGCTCACTCTCACATTACAACATTTAAACTCTTACATTCCGTGTCTGGGTGGAACACTTCATGAGCCCTGGCCTGCTCTGAATAGCATGACCACCCATCTCAGTTTGCCTTGGACTGTCCAAGGTTATACTATTCATTCAAAATGTCCTAGTTTGAGGAGTAAACTATATGGTCACCCTAGCTAGAATATTTAAGATTTCTCTGCTAGAAATGAACTAAAAGCTCCAGTGCAGAAAGCATGCCTTGTGCTTCTGCTTCCTCTGGAGTCCATGATTGTCCAATAAAACATGGTTTTTTTATGGTTCAAGCCATGCAGATGTTTTCTTAATTACCTGGTGTCTGCAGCCCCAGCAGAGACTTGAGTTTAGAGAGGAGAGGATATGAACCCTCACTGCAGAAATTGCCCAGGAAGTCATCTAAGTCAAGAGCCCAAACCATGGCACCACCAAACCCATTAGCCTTCAGAAATGCCACCTGTGATAGAAAAGTATAATCTATCAATCCAGCCTTAAGTCTTAAGCATGATGCAATATGATTTTTAGAAAACTATCTAAAAAGAAAACACAAAGAAATATATAATTGTAACACTATAGAATAGCTTCATTTTTGCATTTTATTTATTTATTTTGAGTATGTGGGTGTGTCATTCTGAGTTGAGTGGTCTGCGTGTACATCTTGTTAACTATTGGACTGAGAGCCCACCCCTGGGGGTGAGTTTTATTCTAGGCGCAGAATGTATTCCAGGGCCATAGTATTGGGAGTCTCACCAGATTTCATCTGACCAGTGATTCTGGTCATTATTGAGATTTTGGAATCTGTCATTTTTGCATTTTAATCATAGCTTTGTGCACCTACCATCATTGTTTACTTGGTTACCACACAGTATACAAAATAGTATATTCTGGTTTTTGGCTTTGTTTTCACTTAGCATCAGAAATAAACATTTCTCATGTTTCTACCAAATATTTCAAAATATAATTTTTAATTATTGAAAATATTCTTTCATACTTACAGATCACAATTTAAAATACCTTTTCCTCATTGTTTTCATATTTTATAATCATAAGCAAGACTCTGAAAAACACCTGTACATATGTGTTTTGACCATAGTGTTTTTCCAATAAATACCCAAAAGTCAGAATTGGAAACTAAAGGGTATATTTATATAATCTCTGTTATATACAGCCATATTTCTTTCTAAAAAGGAAAGCCAATGAAAGCCTATCCAAGGGACTCTTAAAATGACAAGCGTTCTCGGAAACTGGAAGTCTGGATGGTGTGGTGGAAAAAAAAATAAACTTTGGAATTATATACCAAATCCCAGTATAGCCATTACTGTGTATCCTTGGCAAGTAAATTACCTTTCAGCATCAATTTCCTTGTTAAAAAGTGGGAATTATAGTACACATTAAATGACAATAGCAATTATCATTTGTTGAGCACATATGTACAACTTGCATTCTTGCATGTAATCCAGCTCCTAGGCTTTCTATAAGAATTAAATGGAATTTCTTATCTAAAACAACTGGCACACTACAGGCAATCAATAATTGCTTTCTCTTCTTCCACTGAATAAAAATGAACTTTAGTCACAGCTTCTAGAAAGAATTCTACACAAAGAGAGCACTCTGATGAGATGCTGACAGCCACTGACAGCATGCAGACATTGGTCCGGGGCATATATGTTCTTGGTAAGTGTGTTTGTGGGCACTGTTAGGTTTCCTCTTGGTTACCAGTGAAGAACTGCTAGGTCTGAGAGACTGAGAATGTCCACTCCCTACACTCTTGTTAGTGGGAGCAGCGTTGGCTTGCACTTAGTTATCTTCTCATCCTTGAAAGTCTATGTCTGCGGCATTATCTCGTCCTCCATGGCACCTCCAAGAGCAAGGGTTTGGAATTTCTATGACCCTAGCCAGCTGAGCAAGACAGTGGTATTTTCTTCTTGGACATCTTTAATTCTATCCCCTCTCTTATGAGTGAATGGGACCTCTCTCCTGCTGCCCCAGGCAAGCCTCATCTTCTTTGTCTTATCTTCTTCACTTCCTCTTCCCTAAACATGTCAAAAGAGGAAGGATAGAAACAAAAAGACAAGGCTGGACATGTTGTTAAAAAGAGACGGGAGGGTTGGTCGGGAGGGTTGGTCGGAGTTAGTGAAGGACATTTTCTAATTTGCATTTTGCTTTATCTCAGGTCCTGGATCTGTCTATGAAGAACCAGAAGTGTGTGAGCTTCCCATAGAAGTCTTTTGGACATTGGTGTGTACATGTGTGTCTGAGAAAGGATAGGTCATAGTATTTGTATTCATATATATTTCATATCCATATTTTACAAGAACATAGTAAAGGTGTGTCAGAAATCATCCTACTCTACTGCTTTGCTTTACACAGTGGAAACAGGATAGGAAGTGGAGTTATTGGCTTAAAATCATCTAATGAGTCAGTCATCAAGCTCTGGCTATAACTGGGATTTCTCAACATCTCTTCCAAGGCTCTTTCCACTCGAACAGTGAATTTTCCAAGGGCAGAGATAGTGTAACATAATCATAAGGTCCATGGGCTGAAACTTACCTTGTGCTCATAGCTTTCAGTATTGTCAAACCCAACCCACTCATTTCCTTTGTAGGCATAGGGAACCTTCTGGTCTTCAATCCATGAGGTGGTGGCCTCACGTAAGAATGTGCAGATCTGATCAGAAGAACCCAAGTTAGCAAAATTCTGAAGATAAGCTAAGATTTTGGATGTCCAGAAAAAAGGTAAGTATCATTCTGAAATAGTCACATGGTAGCAATTTTATTGTTGTACAAACCATACTTTACAACAATTAGCTCTTTGTGTTTTTGCTTCCTCCACTTGGACGGTGAGTTCCATGAACATTGGTGTCACTAGGGTTGGTTTCACCCAATGTGGGTAATTCATGGGTTCACCCCCAATGGACCTTTCCCCATACAAAACTATACAGAATTATTAGTAATGTTCATTATCAATTTTAATCATAGAATAATATGTTATAAATTGCTTAAATATGATATTTCTTAGACTATATGAATACTAACAGCAAAATTGTTTTGTAAAGTCTTTCTATACTGAATTACATTATTAGTTACAATGTTATTACCAACTAAGCAGAAGCGTTTTTAAATTTTTCTTCTTTTCCTTTAATTATTACTTTATTCTCAAAAAAACTTATTGTTACAGGTTCACAAATACTACTTACCATGGTATCGTAGCTAAAACACCAGAAAAAATTGACAAAATCAGCAACTATAAAAACACTTGCAGCAACAACAACAAAAAAAACAGCATGTGCTTGTAGTGCATGCAGACAAAACTATATGATTTGTTGTTGTTGTTGTTGTTATGTGCTGTCGAGCAGCAACAACAACAAAAAAAACAGCATGTGCTTGTAGTGCATGCAGACAAAACCATATGATTTGTTGTTGTTGTTGTTGTTATGTGCCGTCAAGTCAGCCCCGACTCATAGTGACCCCTCCTTGGGTTTCCGAGGCAGTATCACTACGAAAGTAGGATTGCCCAACCTTCCTTCCGAGGAGTGGCTGGTGGGTTTGAACCGCCAGCCTTCTGTTAGCAGTCAAGTGATTTAGCCACTATGCTACCAGAAGCATCATTGTAATTGGGTAATAAAGACAGCTCTGACCAGAGTGCATTAGAAGTAAATTAGCATGGAATTTTAGCCTTGTAGGTATATTTATATATGTAGGCTTGGCTTATGAAAGATGTTGTTGTTTTAACTAGCTACAGGGATATTTTTATAAAATAAATAAATAAATGAAATACTGAAATACTGCACAAAAATTTTATAGATAGTCATTTTGGTGTCACCCCCTCTGACAATGTCACCTGGTGCAGCCCATACCCCCTACACTCCCCAAATGATGCCACTGTCCATGAGAGTAGGTACTATGTCTTATTTACTGTATTCCCAGTGCCCAGCATGTTGCCTGACATATATATAAGTGCCCAATAAATGATCCTGGACAGAATAATTAACTAAAAGTAGCTTGAATATTATTGAGAACTCACAGAAGAAAATCCCCACTTCCTCCAAAGTTACCTATTCTTTAAATTAAAAAGTATCAATTAAAGAACCTTTGTGTTTTTTCTTGAGATTTAAATTCTAATAATTCTGAAAGAGAGTTTACCTCTCATGGAAGTCAGGTTATACATAGAAAGACCCCTTTATTTCCCAAGATGCTTCCTGGGGAAGGTTTTTGATCTCCATTTGGGGTAGATAGAGAAATCATCCAGCAAAATTATCTTGAGATGAAAAGGAATCCAAATGTTATCTAATCCAACTAACTTGAGTATCCACTGTTGCCTTTCCCAGGGGTAGTTACCTCATAGTAGGCCCAGAAGCCAGCCTCCCGAGTGTATGGTCCAATGGACCCTGGTCCTGAGATGGGCGCTCCCACAGACACATCTGAAGAAGTGAGGCGCATGGTCCGTCCATAAGTGGGGAACCCCATGATGAGCTTCTCAGCAGGAACCCCATTGTCTCTCCAATATTTCATGGCAAATTCCTGGGGAGACACTCATCTTAAGGCTCACACCAAGTTCTCTCCACTTTCTATACCATGCCTGCTTCCCAGTCCCAGGCCCCTGCCTTACAGTGTTGAAGTAGATAAACTCCCCATGGTCAGCAGAACCCTGGTACAGTGGGCTGTTGTGTCCTGTGACAGTGTCCCAACCTCCATGAAAGTCATAGGTCATCACACTGATGAAGTCCAGAAGCCTGGTAGGAAAATGGCACAGGAGAGGTGAACAGCAGCTGAGGGTGTAGTTGTACAATGACTGTGCTTATGGTCATGGCTGCATATGTGGATGTGGTTAAAGCTAAAACTCGGGGCGAGGCTGTGGACATGGCCATGGTTGTGACTGAGATATTTCTTAGGGCTCCAAGGGATTGTCTATTGCATATCTATCTTTTTTTCTCAATTTTGGCCCATAGAATTCTAGAAACCTGGAAGAGGATGCATGAATGAGTGTAGAGGACTATTTCTCCATTCTTTTCCATTCCCACTTCAACCAGAACACCTTCAATTTTTCTTTTCTGTGTTGGAGTTCTCTCAAATACTTCATTTGAAAAAACCCACTGCCACACAGTCAATTCCAACTCATAGAGATCCCCACTGGGTTTCCAAGGCAGTAAATCTTTACACAAATAGATTGCCTCATCTTCCTTCCACGGAGCGGCTGGCTGGTGGGCTTGAACCACCAACCTTCTGTTTAGCAGTCAGATGCTTTAGGGACTGCACCACCAGAGCACCTTCATTTGAAAAAGGGGATTATAACAGCTTTTTCTTTTTTAAAAAAAAAAAAAAGCTTTAAACAAACCATTGGTGTCATACAAGTTCCCACAAGAGCATCAAAGATTACCACATAGCATTGCTCAAATACTTTTCAACTAACCACCTGATCAGGCGTTTGATACCATTGTGATATGGTTCTCCGTCTAACAACTGGCCTTAGAAAGTTACTCGTTTTACTGATCTGCAAAAATGATTCTCTGTCATTTCTCCTGTTGGCACTAGTCTTTTATTCCAAACAAAACAACAAGTCTATGTTCTCATATGTATCCAAGTCTATGCTCTCATATGTATTTACAAAGGCTCCCTACACCCCACTGTTTTGGAGGGGTTTTTTGTGAAGCACTTTGGCTATCTGTTAAATCAGCTCTCAGACAGATAATCTCTTCCAAGAAAAATAACTTCATTGTTCTGAGAAATCTCCAATGAGCCACTGTGTATATACATGCCAGGCACAATATCCTAGACTATTCCAAAGAAACTTCCTTGAGCTCTGGGTGATAAAGCTGTGTGACCTCAGGGGCTCTTCTGCTTTCTCATGCAGCAGGTGACCAACAGGCTGATGGACTAGCTATTGCTGGAATCTTTTGGAGAATATCCTGGCCTCTTTTCACCCTCTCATCTCCTAGCGAGAGTCTGCAGCCTAACAAGAATCCCCGGCAAGCACAAAGTGGGGTAATATCAACGAGCTTGCCCCATAACTGTATCGGCAGGAACTTGCAAAAGGTTTGGCTGCGCACAGAGCAAAGAATTCTCTTTTTCTTCTATTCCCACATGTAGTGCCTTTGGTGGTGCTGACAATCCTTTCTCTCCCTAATGGGTCAGCTCAGTAGCTGTGGCCACGTTCATTCAAGTAAGCCACTGGAGAACCTCATGCCACATACAATACATCACCTTCTAGCTCCTTAGAAGGAGACAGACTGGATGTCAAGCGAGAGCACCAAGGAGGAGAATGGGGAAGAATAGACCATAAACATTAGGCAAAGATGTACAGCTTTGTAAATTCAGTCTGACTGAGGGCCCAAGAGTCCCACACATCTAAATCCTGCCCTGAAATTAGACATGCTATTTAGGTCTTTGGGTATTGATGCCTGACTCACGCTCCAATCTTGGCGATTTCATAACCGGCATCAATCGTGCTTTTGCCTGCAGATACAGCTGCCGAGATCAGCAGACGTGGGCGTCTTGTGGCTTGGGCTTCAGCTTCAAAAGCTGCTAACATTTCCTGTAGCAAAAGATGGGGTTGTTGTTGTCATCAACCCTTACTCATGATGTCCCCATGTACAATGGAACACAATGCTACCCAGTCCTGTGCTATTGGCAGACGAGGGTGGCAGCACATACGGTGCTGTGGCCGGAAATCAAACCCAGCTGTCTCATATGGAAAGTGAGACCCACCACTGTCCCCATAAAAGATAGGACAGTTTTGATAACTATGGTTAGTGGTAATTGCAAGGAAACTATAGTGCTCATAAAGAACTCAAATGCTAATTTAAAAATATAGTAAAAGTCTGCTTGCTTATATCTGTGTTCTAGGTTATCTGTGAATGAGCTAAGTCTTAAGATCTAAGTTTCTCATTGAAGTAGTGTCTTATAGAGAAAGAAGTTTTAGAGATCTCTGCCACTTTCTAATTGTGATTTGGAGCAAATTTTGTTGTTAATTGCCATCGAGGTGATTCCAACTCCTGGAAACGTGATGTGTGCAGGGTAAAACTGCTTCATAGGTTTCTCAGGGCTGTGACCTTTTAGAGGCAGGTCACCAAGCCTTTCTTCCAAGGTCTCTCTGGATGGGTTTGAGCCACCAACCTTTCAGCTAGTAGTTGAGCATTTTACCACCCAGGTACCCTTGGGGAAAATTAATTCTCCCTTATGATTTGACAGTTTATTTCTCAATAAGCAGAGATTAAAATTACATATTTCAGTTGGGAGTTATAAATATTAATGGCTTAATGGCTTATGCCTAAAGCATTTACTTGGCTGTTAACCAGAGCACTGGAGGTTCAAAGCCACCAGTCACTTCTCAAAAGGAAGGCATCTACTTCTGTAGCGATACTGCCTCAGAAACCCAAGGAGGGGTAGCTATGAGTCAGATCCGACTCAATGGCAGTGAGTTTGGTTTTGGTTTTTTATGCGTAGTGCCTAGCACAGTGTCTGACATATTGTATACTGGTTTCCTTCCATTCTTTCTCCCCTTCCTTTGGAAATGGAAGTCAGTCAAGAGTTGGGGATCCCCAGAGCTTCTGGTTTTATGACTGTATTTATCAGTCCTTACCTCGATCAGAATGGTAAAACGTTGTTTATCCTCAGGTGGACTGCCTCGGGATCCTGGGTACTCAAAGTCAAGGTCAATGCCATCAAACCCGTACAGTCGGAGATACTCAATCACTGAGTCAATGAAAATCTTACGATTGCCAGCTGTGGCCACCATAGTGGTGAACCTGGAAAAGATGTGGCCCTTAGTGCATTCAGATGCCATCACCTTTGCCCCTTCATTCTTTCTCTCATGTGGATTTGGCTTAGCTCAGTCTCTAAGAGACAGAGAAGCTCCTCCAGCTCCTGTCTTTAGAAAGTCACCTTCATCTCTAGCAGCTACCCTCATTAGTCTGACTTCATAAAAATCCTCCCAGCTTATAAAGCAGTCTATAAAACTGTCTCCAAAACAAGCCACTTCATCCTTGAAAATTAACCATTTATCAATTATTTAGGGTCTCTTTTCATCCAGTTGTAAGTTGCATTCCATTCCCTCCTATAAACTCCCAAATCCCTTCAGGAAGGACATCATAATACAGTGATAGGGTAAGGAAAACTAAATCTCCTCTACCCACAAAATATGCTTGTTGTAACTTTTCCCTCTCTATTCTCTTTTCCTGTCTTTAGAATCATTACATCTACTTATTTTTCAGAGTTCCCCCAAACGTTCCTTATGTTCTCACACTTCTATGCCTTTGCTCATGTGGTTCTTTTCTCCTAGAATGTCCTTCCCATTCTGACAAACTTCTACTTACTATTCACTGCCCTTTTCAAATGTTCCCTACTCTTCTTTCAAATTCTTTACCCAAGCAGAATTTAGCACTGCATTCTCATAATTTTCTTATTACATTGTGTATATGCCATATTTATTCATTACAGTATTCATTACATATGTTCATTACAGTATTCCATTGTGTGCATGCAGGTTTGTCTCCCTAACTAGATAGAAAGTTTCCTGGGACTCTTTTATTCACCTATTTGTTTCCTCCTATAGTGTCTAGAAAGGTACCTGGCTCTGTGCTACTCAATAAATGTTTGTTGAAGTATCTAATAGCCTTCCTGAATTCCTCAGGCTCACAATATACTCTTGTCCATTTTCTTTTCTCCAGTTATAATAGTGACAGACATTGCATTCTTTAGGATTCTTCTTCTATAGTTCTTTCATTCTTACATACCTCTGATTTTTACACCTAGTACCTACCATAATATTTAGCACATAATACTTGCTCAATAAATACTTGTTCAAACAAATGGAAGCATTCTAAATAAACAGATCATATGTATAGGTCATGTGATAGATTATTTCCATAGATTACTCCTTCACACTGTTTCTCTTCTAGGTCTCTCTCTTTCTTCATCCTATGATCCTTAAAGTCAAAGGATAAGTAAATCTGTAATCAGCCAAACACTGGTTTCCGCTTACTCATTTCTTGATTCTAGCTCTTTTCCTGTCCTGAAATAGCTCCTGCTAATGCACTTCTGGGCTTTTTCATGTCACCATCAATCACCTTCTGCTCATCCTCAAACTAGCTGCAGCCTCATCCTTCTGAGATCAGCCCCCACTCCAATCCCCATACAAAGAAGAGGTTCTTACTTCTGGGTGCCAAAGTTCCATCCGCCAATCGCCAGGAGGGTAACCAGGTTTGCATTACTGATGAGGAAGCACAGAAGTCCATTTTAGCCAAGCATAAGGAAACTGCTTTATGGAGTCAAAGTGGCCTTCTCTCAGACTCACAGTTCTGTTCCAAAAGAACAGAACCATGTCCCCAGGAACTTTGCACTTGGGATCCCCATCCAGTCCCTCAAAGGATAAATTCCATGCTAATCATTCAGACTGGAGCACCCATGCCTGAGTTCTGAGGCACCTGCCCTTTCCTGGAGCAGAGGGCAAGAGGCCAGACTATGTGGAAGGGAGCACCCCTTACATTACAACCACAGGCATGTATTGGATCTTGTAGGCTACTGGGCTCTCTGATTGCAGACGTATTCATGGAGAGAATGGTGGACATTTAGCCAAAAACATTCATGAGACTTTAAAAGCTACACTCACCATCACCACCATCACCACCATCCCCACTCAAAATTGTCAAATGCATCATCTATTTGAAAACAAGGAATCTTCCAAATATGGTTTACTCCTTCCATCCTGATCTCAACAGGAAGGCAATTATACTTGAAACTCATTAATAGAGAGGCTAACGAACAGAGTTAGCCATTGAAGCTACTTTCCTATTCAGCCTCTCTGGCACTCTGGACTTTCCCTCAACCACTGCTCTCAGCTACAGTCTCAAAGAGACACAGGCCAAAGCTGTACCAGGAGGAATCCAATTTAGATGTTACACGTAGATAAACGGAAATAGAGGTTTGGTGCAATGAAGCCAATAATTCTGGCAGATAAAAATCACTGTTGAGGAAAAGAAAAGTAGTTTTGGTTTTTATCAAGGTGGCAGGGCATTTCCGTTTCTCTTTTTCCCAGAGTCACCCTTTCCATATTGTGTACTTTAGTCCTGAGTAGGAAGATGACCCCCAATACTAGCTTTGGGTATTGAGTCTACCCAGAGCTTCTGTCTTATGACTCCCCCACATGTTCCAGAACAAGGTACTGACTGCTGCTTGAGGGCCTGGAACCGGGGGTAGAGGACATCGTCATTCCATTCGTAGGGTGCAATCTTGTTATTGGCCATAGTCGCAAAGGCGTAGATGAGATGTGTGCACAGGCACGGGTCCACATTCTCTGGCATGTATTTGGCAGGATCTGGGCGGTACTGGGACCAATTGGTAAAGTAACACACAAGCTTCGTGGCTGTACCTAGTTGAGAAGAACAGAGACTGGGGCTTGGTAACGTTGAGATCTGCTGTCTCAGTACTCCTGGGCCCTCTTCTATGGCTCAATGGGGAGGAACAGCATAAATGCTCTGGGAATTTGAGTTCTCTCTCTGGACTTAGGGCGGGCATGTGAGGAGGACATAGGACTCATTGGTTAGGTAAGACTACAAGCTAATGGTGTTCTTCCCTTAACAAGGACCTGGGAATGGAATGAGAACAAACATATCATAAAACTGAAACTATTTCCCCTGAAGATATCTAATTTCTGTGGAATTAATGACTCCCTGGCTCCCCAATCCCCAGCAACTAACACATTCTTGCTCTTGTTGTTAGTTGCCATCAGTTGATTCCAGCTCATGATGACCCCACATGTGAAAAATAGAACTTCTCCATAGGGTGTTTAAGGCTGTGGCCTTTTGGAAGCATATTGTCAGACCAGTCTTCCAAGATGCCACTGGTTGTGTTCAAGCCATCAACATTTTGGCTGGTAGTCAAGCGCTTTACCTTGCTTTACCTAATGCTATCTATGCCCTGGCAAGTGTCATTCTGGTCCTAAGCAGTCCCCATTCTTATCCTTTACTTAAAAGAATGTGAATGGTGGGGATTAGGGGATAGGTGGGAGGGAAAGAGGTCTTGTCTTGTCTTTTTTTTTTTTTTTTTTTTTCCTTTTTGATGACAACTTTGAATGTCCCATAAAACTCCAAAACCAAATTCATTGCCATCGAGTTCATTCCAACTCACAGAGACCCACATTGGTTTTCTAAAGCTGTAAATCTTATGGAAGCAGACTACCTTATCTTTCTTCTGCAGAACGGCTGGTGAGTTTGAACTGCCAACCTTTTCATTAGCAGCCAAATGCCTTAATAGAAGCTGGAAACTCCTGCTCTCTCAGGTTCTTGAAAATCTAAGTCTGCTGATGGTGGAAATTCCCTTATTAGGAAGAAAGCCTTGTGATACTTACCAAGCTGCAGCTGAAGCAGCACAGCCAGACCTATCAAAAAGCAAGCAACAACATGATAAAAGTGATTAATGTCACTGAATTGAACATATAAAAAATGTTGAAATGGCAATTTTCTTGTTATGTATCTACTCATCACAATAAAAATAAGTAAATTTGAAAACACACAAAAACAACCAAACAAAAAACAAGCAACAAATCTATGATTCAGCTCAGGCTTCCCAGGCATGCTGCAGGTCTATTGTCCCGTTGGGTAATTATGAACATTCAGCTCCCAGTGAGTCCTGCCCAGCTTCTCTTTCCATAGTTTATGCCTTAACCACCTTGGAGATGGGAAGGGAGGGGGCAAGTCCCAGATCTGGGTTCTCTACTGCCTAGTAAGTGGTAAAACTAGAAAGACCGTGGGCTTTGGTGCCAAGCATTGTTAGATTTCAAGTCTGAATCTTCTACTTCCAGCCGCAGGCTGCTGAATAACCTATTGCATCTCTTTTAATCTCAATTTGCCACTGGTAAAAATAGACATAACAAAATCTACTTCAAATTTTTGTTGTAAGGATTAGATGAGATCATTGAAGTGGTAACACACAGGCAGACCTGAATAAATGTGTTTTAACTAAACTATTGGCTCAGTTGACTAACCTTAAGCTAAGGACCAACTTAAGTACTCTTAGCTACATGCTGGGAAAGGGCAACCAAGTTGGGGTCCCAGAATGCCCCAGAGCCTGTGGAAGCAGCTGTTCACACCTCCTGGCATTCTGCATCCTGTGACTACTCGTGAACCACAGACTTTGAGGGGGTCTTCAGGGTCGGGGTGGAGAAGGGCATAGAAGAGATTATATCTAAGCAATGAGGGAAGCATTCCTTCCTTCTCAACAAAAACTGGTACTACTGAGCAGGATGCAGGTGGTGAGAGAGATACGAAAGAAGGAGAGAAAGTATTATAAAAAAATAATTCATTTAATAGAATATGCCAGAGAGAGGGAAGAGTGTGGGATGCTGAGGCAGTGGGACTTGGATTGAAAACCGTGGAAGCAAGAGCCCCAGCTTAGATGGTGTGTCTTTAGGAAACTCTTGTCCAGGTTCTACTCAGAATCTCATTCTGAGTGAACTCTCAAGTATGTGGATTCACCACTCCCTCCTCTGAGATGGAATAACATCATGGTCTTAGTTGCCTCTGAGATTTTGTGATCATAAATGGGTTATGAATGTGAAACACACACACAAAAACCAAACACACTGCCCTCGAGTTGGACCCGACTCATAGCAACCCCTCCTTGGGTTTCCGAGGCAGTATCACTAAGAAATAGATTGTCCAACCTTCCTTCTGAGGAGTGGCTAGTGAGTTTGAACCACCAACCTTCTGGTTAGCAGTCAAATGCCTTAGGCACTATGTCCCCAGCACTCCCTATGAATGTGACCAAACTTTAAAAGCACAAGTGATTGACCAGAGGTCAGACTTTGTCTGGTTATAACCAGATTTGCTAGTAGAAAAAAAAAAAAGGCATGGTATGATCCTATAGGAAATCCCTGGGTGGCAAATAGTTAACATGCTTAGCTGCTAACTGAAAAGTGAGAGCTCTGAGTTCAACCAGACCTGTCTCAGAAGAATGTCCTGACACTCTATTTCCAAGAAATCAGCCATTTAAAAACCCCTAAGGAGCTCTGGTAGGAGCTCTGGTAGCATAGTGCCTAAGGCACTTGACTGCTAACCAGAAGGCTGGTGGTTCAAACCTACCAGCCACTTTTCGGAAGGAAGATTGGGCAATCTACTTCCGTAGTGATACCACCTCAGAAACCCAAGGAAAGGTTACCATGAGTCGGATATGACTCGACAGCAGTGGGTTTGATTTTTTTGGTTTATGGAGCACAGTTCTACTCTGACACACATGAGGTCACCATGAGTCAGAGTCAGCTCCACAGTTACTGGTTTGGTTTGGTTTATTGTTATTGTTGTTTGCCATCAAGTCAGTTCCCATTCACAGTAACCCTATAGGACAAAGTAGAACTGCCTCATTTGGTTTCCTAGGCCATAATCTTTACAGGAGCAGATCATCAAGTTTTCTCTTCTGAGGAATGGTGGGTGGATTCAAATTGCTGACCTTTTGGTTAGCAGTAAGCACTTAAGCATTGCACCACCAGGCTCCTTGGTTTACCAGTTGGTTCTCAGTAAATATCATTGATTGAATGAATGGTGTGTTTAGAATAGAAATACGAATGTCCCTGATCTAGATCCCCCAGTCTCATTCCATACATCTCCTACCCCCTTGGGGCTGTATTCCCCTCTGCACCACTTGCCTCCTCCCTGCACTTTAGAATAAAATGGCACATAATTTGGGGGAGAAAGAGATAAGAAGAGGGGAGGAAAATGGATGAACACAGAGTGTGTGGTAGGGGTGGCTCTGGGCAGTCATTTAACCAGGAGGAACCAGAAACATGTAGGAATACCTAGCTTGCTGGGACCCACCAACTAAGTTTTTGAAATGTTTTAGCATTTTCTACCATGGCACAAAGGAACTTCACTCCTCTCACTCTGGACAATGAGCAAGTGCAAGAGAGAGAAAAAGTCCAAAGCCTGACAAAGTAGGAACATGATGGGGATGATACATGCCAGGAACAGGGAGAAAAGGCATGGAAAACCCAAATAGGGTCTTTCTTTATTGAAGCCAGGTGCTGGATTCCTGCTCTGTGATCCTTGCTGGGGAGGACTCTCTGAGTTTAGAGAAGGGGAAAAGGGGGATTGGGTCTGTGTGACTCACCAGCCCAAAGCAGCATCCTCCCCATCTTTGCTGCAGTCCCAGTACAAAGTCCTGAGGTCCTGGGCACTCTATATCAAGTCTGGGTGGGGAGGGGCCTGATTATCACTGTGAAAATGGAACAGCTGCAAGAGGCAGTGTGCACAATCCAGGCCCAGGGCCTGCTTCCAGTTTTACACATGTGACATTTCCAAGGGCCCTGGGAAGCTATCCCATTATCAGAGCCCCACACCTGCTGTGTCAGGTTCAAAAAAACTCATTAAACATCAAATCTTCTCAAGAAGACAATATCTTCTATTTCTTTGCCAATGAAAAGCAGAAAGCTGTGATGCTTCTACAACATTGACTCCCTCTCCTGATCATCATTTACCTATTAACTGATAACATCAATGCACCAAACGTTGACTGGGTGCCTCTCTAATGTCATGTGCTAGGATTAAAGTCATGCTTAAGACATGGTAGTTGCCTTCACATCTAGTAGTGTATTCATGAACATACATAGGAAGGAAGATGGGACAATCTACTTCCGTAGTGATGTTGTTGTTGTTGTTGTTATGTGCCGTCGAGTCAGACCTGACTCATAGCGACCCCTCCTTGGGTTTCCGAGGCAGTATCACTACGGAAGTAGGATTGCCCAACCTTCCTTCCGAGGAGTGGCTAGTGGGTTTGAACCACCAGCCGTCTGGTTAGTAGTCAAGTGCCTTAGCCACTATGCTACCAGAGCTCCCGTAGTGATACTGCCTCAGAAATCCAAAGAGGGATCGCTAAGAGTCAGGTCAAACTCAACGGCAAATTACAACAACAACAACAAACAGAAAGATGGACAAACACTGCAGAAAACAGAAGATATCTCTACTGGAGGGGCAGGTCAGACTTCACAGAGAAAGTAACTTTTGAACTTGACTTGTCATAATTTACCAGTGACAAGAGAGGTGAAAGTTCATTTTAGGGGGAGGAAATAACATATGAAAAGGCCTGGAGCATTTTACAGCAGTGAAACTATTCTGCATGATACTGTAAGTAGACACATGACATTATGTATTTCTCAAAACCATAGGATTATACAACACAAAGACTGAACCCTAAGTGAACTGTGGACTTTAGTTCGTAATAATGTTCCAACACTGGTTCATCAGTTATAACAAACGTACCACAGGCATGCAAGATGTTAATAATAAGGGAAATAGTGTGCAAGGGAAAAGGAGTATATGGGAATTCTCTTTACTTTCTGCACAATTTTTCTGTAAACCTAAAACCCTCTAAAAAATAAAGTTTATTTTAAAAAGTGAAACTTGCCCAAAATAAGGCTTGGGAGAGGAGAGAGTCTGGTGTATTCAGGGGCTGGTGAAAAGCTCACAGTGGCTGGGCTGCAGGCCACTTGAGAGGATCACCAAAGGGACTGACCATGCCACTGTCCTAATGGACATTCACTCCAAAGTGCAAGCAACTAGTGAGGGAAAAGCCATAACACATAGACCAAGAGGACGAAACCATTTGGCCCTTCATCAAAGACACCAAGAGTGTCCTATCACACCCCCAACTCTGGATTCCAGAAGAGGGATGGCCTACTTCTTAGCCACTTTATCCCACCCTCCTGAGGGCTGCAATCCACTGTATACAAAAAGAAAAAAGTCAAGGAGCCTCCAGTAGGGTAAAAAGAGGTGTGGACAGTGTGAGCAGAGGGAATGAGAGGGGAAGATGGTCAAAACATTGGACCAGGATTATGGGAACAGAGTTTGGAGCTCCTGGTGACTTGTCAATAGTAAAGTGGAGGGTGAAAATGGAACTAAGAAAAGAGGAAGCAGAAAGCTGGATACTTTCAGTTGGCTCTAAATTTGGGATTTAGGGCCCAGATGTAAAGAAGTCTTTTGTTTCTGTTTAGATTTCTCAGCCATGGCCATGAGCCTAGCAAAATGGCCAGGTACAAAACCAGAAGCCCTACCAGGAATGAAGAATATGATCCTGGAATTGTGCCTTGGGAATATGGTGAGTGATATAGCAGGTGCTGGAACAGGAGGAACCCCAACGAGAGAGAAGCCCTGCCAGCAGAGCTCTTTTTGTAAAATAAGGATCTGCCTCTAAAACCCGTTACGGATTCTCATGACTAGAGAATAAAGTCTAGACTTTTAGCAATTCCCTGCCCAACTGATCCCAGCCCACCTATGCATTTCCTGCCACCCTCTTCAAATTTTCTGCTGCTCTATGATCACACCTACTCTTTTTAGGCTCCGTGCTTTTTCTTGTGCCATTCCTCATGAGATGCTGTGGTGGTTAATTTTATGAGTTGACTTGGTGAGCCTATGGTGCACATATTTGATCATATACTAGTCTAGATGTTGCTATGAAGATATTTACATGTAATTAACATTTGAATCAGGATCTTGGATGACACAAAGTCAAGACTGCTGGAGTTTCCACCCTATCATCTGACCAGATTTTGGTTGTTCCAGCTGGTTGCTGATGATCATGATAGCTGAGATTTGGTACGCACACACACACCCATTGCTGTGGAGTCGGATACCACTCTTAGTGACCCCTCCTTGGGTTTCTGAGGCAGTATCACTACAGAAGTAGATTGCCCAACCTTCCTTCCGAGGAGTGGCTGGTGGATTTGAACCACCAGCCTTCTGGTTAGCAGTCAAATGCCTTAGGCACTACTTAGGTCACCAGAGCTCCCTGAGATTTGGTAGTAGGATATAATTTTGGTAACCATATTGAAAACTTTCCAGAAATTGTATCTCTATCTTAAGATCTTTGCTCTAAACACTTGAGGCCAAAGGCCAGAGCATGAATAAAGGTGGTACTGAGGTAGTCACAGTGGTGGACAGGGCAGGAGATGAGTATGAAGGTGAAATGGCTGGCCTGCAGCCAAAAACAAAAATCAATTTCTCCCATAAGAGAAACAAAACACTAAAAAATAAAAGGAAATGGCCCAATGTAGACACTATTCTATTCGATAAGATTGACTCCATTATGTAGAGGGGCCACACAAGAGATAACATGAAAATTATACACCCACTTTCACTTCTCAACCAGACACGCACACACCTGAACTAAAAATAATTTATATCTTTTTTTTCCACATACATCCTTCTAACTATATTTGAATTGATGTTATATTTCCATTATTAAAATAGGTTTGCTATCCTAGGGCAATGTCAGTTTTTAATTCCTTGGACGCAGCATTTCTGCCTTGGAGGAAGCCTGCTTTAAATGATTGCTGGCAATTAACCATGTAATGCAAATTCAGCTGGACTTACTTCAAACAAGTAATACACTAAAACCAAGATATTCTATTTGATTTAAAATTCCTTGGAGGCTAAAGTCATGTCTCATTTGTATTTACACATCCAAAAGGCTTGCACATCCTAGACTCTCAAAAAATATTTATCACATTGATTCTGGTTCTGATTTTGACACTAACTGCATAAACATCCCTCCATGGTTCAATTCTTTCCACTATAAAATAAAATTGAAATTTTAAACTCAAATGCTTTCAGACCCAAGAAGCAGGTAAAGTGAATATATGAAGCAGCTAATGATACCAGTAGGGAGCAATAGGGACTGTGAAAATGCCCAACAGCAGTCAAATTCATTAAAATTATGCTGTTTCTTTCCAAAAAAATGTTTTCTGGTAAGGTGGCCCTCAGGTCACCTACTTGAAATACTAAGATCTTTTTTTCCCCCCTCTTCTAACATTCTTGAGTCAGTAATTCAGTAATTGCTCTGATTCATGTTATTTTCTAAGGATAGAGCGATCCTGGTTTCGGAGGCAGTATCACTATGGAAGTAGACTGCCCAATCTTCCTTCAGAGAAGTGGCTGGTGAATTTGAACGACAAGCCTTCTGGTTAGCAGTCAAATGCCTTAGGCCCTGTGCCACCAGAGCTCCTAAGGATGGAGAGAAAAACTAATGAGGAGGAGAATGCTGAGAGAGGTGATAACCTCCAACCAGACCTCCTCATATAGATACTACTGTGTCCCTAATGCTTATGCTGCAGCTCCATACTCAGAGGTCTCTTATTGATCAACTAACAAATTCCCTAAAATAGCTGTTTCTAAGTTTTAATTTGGAGTCCTTGAGTGGTGCAAACAGATAACATGCTCAGATGCTAACCAAAAGTTTGGAGGTTCAAACCTACCCAGAGTTGCCTTGGAAGACAAGCCTAGCAACTTACTTCTGGAAAATCAGCAACTGAAAAATCTTTGGAGCACAGTTCTACTCTGACACACATGGGGTCACCATGACTAGGGGTTGACTCAACTGCAGCTGATATATGTTTTAATTTAGAATTGACTACTAAAAGCAGAACAAGAGAAAAGTCATTGTAGAAGGAACACCAAAGATATTTGAAGTATTCTGCTTTATTTGTTGCAGAAAGTAAGAATCCCATGAAGAGAAGGGGTCAGGATCATTAAAAACACTGCTGGCAGTCCACAGAAACATTAGGGCAATCCCAGAGCCCTGTGGAGAAGGGTGGAGACAGATGTCTGTGGCTAGTCTATGCAGAGAGGGCAAAGCCCACCCTGTTGTTGGCCATGTCATAGACAGAGTAATATTCCTTGAGGAAGACATCTCCCAGAATCCACAAGGGCTGCCCAGTGGGGGAGGGCAGGTAAGTGGCCTCAATCCCAAGTGTGCAGTAGCCATTGTTCTAAAAAGACAAAGGACAGGAGGATATAACCAGTTGCACTGTAGAGGACTTTTGCCACAGGAACTTCCCCACTGTGTATTACCATGGCACTCATGGGGCGTTCTCTATATTCTTACCCACCCTCAGCCTGGCCCCTGGTGATTCCCCATAGCTCAGATGTGAGCTGGGACGTGGGACAGCAGTTTGGGCCCACCTCATCAAAGGGTGCAGAGAGCCTGAGGGTGAATACTTACATTGAAGACATAGGCAGAAGGAGGCAGAGGGAACTGGGCCCCACTGATGACGAAGGTGATGGTGGGCATGCTCTGTATGTAGTTGCAGTTGACCACGAACTGAGAGGGAAGAGGTAAAGCTGAGGAGCCCAGGGACTAGGA